CTGCACTCCAGTCTGGGCGACAGAGTGAGACTTTAACTCAAAAAAAAAAAAAAAATTAGCTGGGTGTGATGGTGCACACCTGTAGTTCCAGCTACTTGGGAGACTGAGGCTGTGGTAGTTATGATCATGCCACTGCAGACCCAACTCAAAAGAAAAAGGAAAAAGAGGAGAAGGAAATCCAGAGACAGAGACACAAGAAGAGGAAGCCACGTGGGATTAGAGACAGAGACTGGAGCAATGCAGCCACAAGCCAAGGAACACCAAGAGCCGCAGCAGCCACCAGAGGCTGGGAAGCAGCATGGAAGGGTCTCTCTCTCAGGGCCGCCAAGGAAACAACTTAGGACTGGTGGCCCCCGGACCATGAGAGGAGACATCTCTGTTGTTTTAAGTCACCCATTTCACCTCTGAAATGAGCACAGACGGATACACCATCACCTGCATCTCACAGAGGGGGAAACTGAGGCCCAGAGGCTAAGTCACCCATTGAAATTCACTCAGCTTCCAAGTGGCCAGCTCAGGACCCAAACCCAACTGAGTGACTTGGGGGAAGAAGGGCCAGTGACGGTAACAAGACAATGAAAAACCTGGTACCCACACAGCACTGCCCATGCCAGGGCTCCTTTCAGGGCTTTGTATGGATTCACTGACTTAATTCTCATAAACCTATGATGCTGGCACTATTCTTATCCCCACACTCTACAGATGGGGAAACTGAGGCAATCGAGAGGTGAATGAACTTGCCTAACACCACAGGACTAGCAAGAGACAAAATAAAACAAAACCAAGAGAAAAATGGAATTGTGGCTGGGGGTCGGGGGAGGAGGAGACCAGGACCCAGAGAGGCAGGGGCGGGCTGGCCTCACCATCCGTCCAGGCCTCGTGGATAGAGGCCTTCTGCCGGAACTTCTCCGCCAGGTGGTCAAGCCGCTCCAGCCTCCGGATCTCATTCAGCAGCCACTCCTCGTAGCCCTTCTCTGCCTGCTCCAGGCAGCCCCAGGCATTGTTAATGTCCTGTGGGACAGAGGTGTGGGGTCAGGCCCAGTATAGGGCCGGACCTTGCCTCCCCTTGTCTGAAACCCCCAAAGGTGCTCCAGGCCTTCCAGGAGGAGAGCCTCTTTCCCATCCCCGCCCCAACCCCCCTAGCCAAGCCACCCACCCTACCCCTGGCTCCCACTGGTGCTTCCCTGGGCTCCCAGGCAAGGCATGGAGCCCGAGTCCACAGGGTCACCTAGCTCTGAGACGTGGAGCACAGAGCCCCAGGGGAAGCGCCCAAGGTCTTCCCTCCCAGGACTGGCTTCCAACTCGTCACTGGGGCTGTTGGACCCGGTAAACAAGCACCATGAATAAGATAAGCAGGTGCCAGAGTTGCCCAGGTTCCCCACGTCCCCGGGTCCACTCTCAGACTAAGGCTGCTGTGTGGTAGCCTGGAGCCTGCAGTAACCCTGAGTCCCGAGGTTCTGAGGACAGATGCTGGGCGCAAACCCCAGCCCCTCCTTACAGGGCCACCCTTCAAGTTCCCAGCTGAGTGGCAGCGGGGCTGCACCTGCCCCAAGAAAGGAATACTCATCTAATTCTCACAAAGCACTCTTTGGCTGGCAGTGGCTGTCCACCTCAAAGGCTACTGATCCAGCCTTGGGATCGGAGAAGGACCACAACTTTCCAAACTGCCCACACAATGTCAGAGTCCTTTCTTTCCCTCATGACCCCCCAGATGCTGTTTCCACCTGATGCTGTCACCTCTCGCCTACCCCCCTCATCCTGTCCTCTTTCCTGCCCTGCCCCATCCCCCTCCAACCCCCTCAGCCCAAGCCCCTCTAGTCCTGTCATACACGCCTGTACACACTCTTGTTATTCTTTGCTTTGAAGGACAAAAAGCTCAACCGGGGTGAATTTGCTGAATTTTCGGCGGTATGTTTTTCTGGCTTATGAAATGTTTCTTTAAGTCCTGGGAACAGGGTAAAGGGGATGAAAATCAAAGGTAACAAACATCAAAGATTATTTTATGACATGAAAAGCTGGTCACAATACAGTGTTAGCTTTTTTTTTTTTTTAACAGATTAGTATAGTAAACATTCTTCATAATTTCCTTAAGAATTCTTAATTGGGGCAACCCCTTCAGGTTCCCTCTCACTGTGGGAGCTTTTCTGTCCGCTCAATAAATCCTGCTTTCTCAAAAAAAAAAAAAAAAAAAAAAGATTCTTAATTGGCTATATTTGGTTGTGTTTAAAAAAAAAAGAATTATATTTATAGAGAAAAACAAAAAGACAAAAAGAATCTTTTAAGAATGTTTTAGTGGCTCACGCCTGCAATCCCAGCACTTTGGGAGGCTAAGGCGGGAGAATTACTTGGGCCCAGGAGTTCGAGACCAGCCCTGGCAACATAGCAAAACCCTGTCTCTACAAAAACTAAAAATAAATTAGACAGACGTGGTAGCATACAACTTGTGATCCCAGCTATTCAAGAGTCTGAGGTGGGAAGCTCACTTGAGCCATGAAATTAGAAATAAACTTTCCTGCTATTGCAATAGGTTCTGTTTGGTTCAACATGCCAAGAAGTATTCTGCTCGTGAGGATCTGGGGCAGGGGCAGGCTGGGGAGTCCGGGGTCTGGAAGGGCAAGGCTGACATTGCAGAGTCTGGGCATGAACCCAGGCTGTGACAGGCCAGAAGACTGGAGTTCGGAGCAGAGTTGGTCAGTGGGAGCAAATAAACCCACCCCTTCCCACCTCCCGAGCCCACCAGACCTCACCTGGGAGCTGGGAGCGAGCGGCCGGGCTGGGTCGGGCTTTTGCACTCACCGAGACCATCCGGCCCTCCGAGGGCATGAAGGCCGGCCGGTTGCTAAGGCGCAGCTTGGTCTGGAGCGTGTTGAAGTTGATCTCTAGCTGGCACTTCTCCTGCACCTTGGGCGGCTTGTGCAGGCGCCGGTAGTCGCGGAAGTCCTCCAGCTTCTGCTGCATGGCGTGCATGGTGTTCTCTGCCACACGGTTCTCCAGCCACGGGATGGTGCGGCGGATCCACTCCAGTAGCTGGGGAGTGCAGAGCGGGGATGCTGGGGGGTGGCGTGAGGGCTGGTCTCCCTCTCCCCTCCTCCAGAGGGCTCTCCTGACAGCACACGACTTCCCAACTACTATGCTAGGCATTCCCTCTGAGAGCCACAGGCTCGGTGAGGCCCGGCCACTAGGGTGCGTCCACTCGGGGCCACACCACTCAGCCCCCCTGCTCTGCCAGGGCAACTTCCCAACACCCGGTAGGGAGACAGCTTGGCCGGGGGGCAGGAAACCTGAATTTTCGTTCTAGATCCTACCTGACTGGGCCTGAGTTTCCTTATTTATACCACGAGGGGAGTTAACAGCTGTTCCCTGAGGTCCTTGTCACCACACTCTAGGATGTGAGTCTCAGACTCGAAAGGGAAAAGGCTTCTGGGAGCACGGTCAGGTCCAGCCTGGACGGTTTTCCTTAAGCCAGGGTGACAGTGCTGGAGGGGACAGCCGAAGGGAACTGATGACAGGAAACATGTCGGCACCGGTGAGGTGCCAGGCACATCACACGAATGAACTCCTTGAAATAAGCATGGGAATCCTACGGGGTTAAGTTCCATGATCAGCCCTTAGGACAGAGGAGGCAGCCAAGGCACTGGCTGGCTAGAACAGCAGAGCAAGGACATAAACCCAGGCACTTGAGCTCCAGAGCCCAGGGCCTACCTGTGCTAGACAGTGGGTCCTCCAGGAGGCTGAGCCGAGCCACTCAAAAGGCTGAATTCTTTCTTAACCCAAGTGTAGCCAACGGCAGATCAGGAGACCCAGTGCCATCCTGTCCTGTCGCCTGGGTGGGTTTGCTCGCTATGCTGGCCTGAGCTGGTGCTGATGTACGGCTACTTCAGAACCTCTCGGAACCAGACACACACCTCCCTTTTCTACTTGAAACAAAACATTTTGACCAATAATACCCAGACTGGAAAGGGCTTTCAGACCCTGACTCAACTTCTCACCTGACAAGTGAAAATCCAGGACAAGAGAGGGGAGGGACAACCCAGGCTCACTGTAGCCCAGAAATGGGCCTCTGCCCTGCCCGCTACATCCTGGGGGACTGGAGCTCAGCCCCAGCTGCCCTGGGCTAACAGGGCTGGGATCGCGGGCTGCTCCCAGCTTGGGACTAGGCTCCAGGGACAGATTTGAAGGTACAGGTTCTGGGGCTCCTGTCCTCTCAGGGTGGGTGGCCAGGGCCCTGCAGGGCCAGGAGACCCAGGGTACCCACATCGCTGGCCAGCTTCTCGTAGTCTTCCATCAGCTGCTCATTCTCCTGGTTGACCGCCAGCACCTTGCAGATGCGGTTGGCTGCTGTCTCCGCCTGCAACAAGACAAGCGTCAGAACCTGCAGCCTGCAACAGAGCAACCTGCTACACACCTGTGCTGGCAGAGCCCCCTGAACCCTGCAGCTCCATTGTGGGCCTGGGCAAAGGTCTTGGCAACTGAACTGGGCCTCGGGGGGAAGGGCCTGAGTTTGAGGCCCAACGTGCATGTTGAAAAGAAACCAGTCCAAGGACTGGTGTAACCAAAACCCTCAGGTCAGGCAGAGAGGTGAGGAAATTCATGCCCATCCTGGAATTCCAGGTGAAGGCATTGGAATCTCAAGGCTCAGGGCCTCAAGTGGGATCTCCCAGGGTCTTGGAGTGTGGGAATTCAAATCCAGGAGTCCCGGGATAAGATGCAGACTGAGAAGTTGTGAGGCCTCTCGGGACCTCTGCAGAATCTCCCAAGGTACCTGGTCCAAACCCAAAGCACTTCAGAGAAAACCAAGAGGTCTCCACCAAGAGCAAGGCTTAAGGAACAACCTAGCATAGGCAGGACACCAGAACACACGGCTCGGGCAGCGCTGGGACAGCTAAGAACACCTGTGCGCTGCATGCTGGGCTGGTGGGACCCAGGTGGACCTCAGCAGTGAGAGAAACAAAAGGCCTGACACCCCAGGGCACAGTCCCCCAAGGCTGTGGAGGGTATTGTGCACCCAATGCCAGCAGCAGCCAGTGTTGGTAAACCCACTGTGCTGAGGTCAAATCCAGTTGTACATACTCAACTCTACACCAAGGAGAGTGAACACAACGCCTTTTGGGGCTGTGGGGCCAAAAGGAAGACCCCCTGGGGCTGTGAGAAAATGCTGCCATAAGAGGGGTACGCCTCCTTGGGCCCACAGGGTAGAAAGGTGGGAGCTCCCAGCTGGCTGAGGAACAAGACAAATTGGGTTTCAACTGCAGCCAAGATGAACTGAGGCTGGCTGTCAGGAAGGACTTCTTGAGAACAAATGTGCTCAGAACTGGAAGGAATGACTAAGATGTATTTTCCCTCGAAGGACTTTTCAAATAAGACACACGCCTACCAAACAACCATGTGCTCCGTGGGTGACTGTGTGGGCTGTGCTGGGGGCAGGGGCAGAATGAGATCACCTTAAAGACGAGATGTCAGAGTGGGTGGGGGAACACACAGGGAGAATTTCACACGGCCAGAGGGTGACATAAGAGACCTTGGAGATGAAGACTTGGAGACCAGGGTCTTGGGAAACAGAGGCAGGGAGTCACATCCTGAGACCCTCATGCCCTGCCACAACCAGCCCCATCCTGGGGAAGCCATGGCCACTTCTGACCTGAGTGGTCGCCATTCCTCTAGAACCAACAATCTGCCCCAGGGAATCCCAACAGGCGAGAAGGGGGAGTTCTTCCCAGAGCCTGTGAAGAAGATGCAGGACCCAGAAGAAGGCAGGGTCATGGAGGTGAGGGCAGGGGAGGGGGCTTGCGCATCCCCCTCTGGACTCAGGCCTGCAAGAGACCCCAGGCACAGCCATGCTTCCCCAGCAGGTAAGACCACAGGCCACCTGTCACCAGCACAAAAAGCCGCTGCTGTGACTTTAACAAATAAAGCTGCCACCACCACCGACACTCAATGCTTGTCAACCTTGATATGTGACAGTTTATCACACTGCTGGACAGCGTTGGGTCTCCGTTCACGGGATTTTAGGAGATATATCCTCTGGGGCCTCCAGGGCCTCGTCTGTCCCCCAGAGCCTGCTCACTGCTCCAGGGTCAAAGGCAGCCAATTTTGGATAAAGTCTAGGGGAGAGTCCGTGTGGGCCTCCTGGGGATGTTTTGCAAGATCCAGCCTCTTTCCTAAGCCCAGGTCTCAGTGGCACCCCCCAGGCTGCCTCTCCAGGAGAGACTGAGACGCCCACCATCATCAGCAGTAGGCCGGCCTCTAGAAATAATGCATGGCATTGCGGGACAAAGAGCACTGTCTTTACCAAAGGCCCGTCTGCACCCTCCACCAGGGTGGTCTCAAGAGACAGTCGGCTCCTAGGACACCTTTAGGAAGCAGGTTTCTGGAATCCAGGTTTGATTTTTAGAAAAAAACGACAAGCAGAGTCCTCAGAGCCTCCACCCCTGCCTTGCTAGCCTGGCCCAATTTCCCCACCGGCAAGCTATAACCCTGGAGGCCTGCTGGGTATTGACTTGGACTAGCTTTCACAGCAGTCCCTTTTCTAAGAAGAGTTCAGTCACCCACCAACCTCAGCCCAAGAGGTAGGAGGAGGCTGTCTCCGAAGGCCGAGCTCAGGCCCACTGAAGTCATCCCTGGAGCAGAAGAGCAGAGAAGCTATTGGGGGTGGTGCCAGGCCTAGACCGTCACCTCAGTTTTCTGGCTTCCCAGTTCTTTCCTCCTGTGGCTACCAGGACCCTATGCACGTGCGGAATCGAAGAGAGAGGCACCCAGAGCCACCAAGGTCATAAAGACTCACTAGAAGCTCCAAAGAGAGACTCGCTCTAGAGAGGAAGGATGCCTTCCCTGAGGGCACCATGGGAATTGAGGTGACTTCGGAAGACGGTCCTGGAAGGCCCTGATTTCAGGTGACTCCTGCAGGAGAGGGGCTGCTCTCCACCCCAGCAAGAAAAATGAGAAGGCCCAGAACTTTCTGACATCAATAGAACTGACACAAGGAGACATGGCAGAAGCACAGAAATAGGTGGGTTAGAAAATATTCTATGGAAATGGCCAGGGCTGTGGCTCACACCTGTAATTCCAGCACTTAGGGAGGCCAAGTGAGAGGACTGCTTGAGCCCAGGAGTTTGAGACCAACCTGAGCCATAGAGTGAGACCCTGTCTCTACAAAAAAGAATTTTTAAAAAGTCAGCCAACCAAGGTAGCCCTCACCTGTAGTCCCAGCTACCTAGGAGGCTAAGGCAGGAGGATCACCCGAGCTCAGGAAATCGAGGCTGCAGCTAGCTATGATCGTGCCACCGCCTCTAGGTGGAGCAAAGGAGTGAGACCCAACTCAGATTAAAATACATAAAAGAAAAGAAAAAGGAAAATATTCTATGGAAATGGGCAAAAAGTTTATTCCAAATGCCAAAGGAAATGACCACTAGAAACCTATTTCCTGCTCCCGAGTTTGTATTTTCATGTATTTCTGACCACATTAAGCTGTGCTGGTCTACAGCCTAATGTCTGAGATACCTTTGGCTTTAAAGAGTTATTTTGTAAAACTTCGGCCCATCAAGCCCAGGGCACGTGGCTGCCCCATGGGCATCAGCACCCAAAAGGCAGTCAGGTGCAGTCGAGAGACAAGCTGTCCTTGGTTCAGGTGACCTCAGACATCCAGAGGAGGCAGCTGCATACATGGTGCCACCACACACAACCCACAGCCTCACGTGAAAGCCATGGGATCTTAGCTGTGTCTCTGTTAGTCAAAAACTCCCCCAGTCTGGCTGGACCTACCCATTTCCCTCCTCCCACAGCCACCCAGGGCCTAGCCTTTCCCTGGCCCTGGGTTTTCTGCTAGCGAGGCCCAAGCACCCAAGCTTCCCAGGGGTGGGCAACTGGGCAGGGGGGATTGGGCCCCCAGGATAAGCTCTCTCCAGTGGCCACTTCTGTCCTCACCCTCGGGCTGCCCCCATCTTGGGCAGCCCGTGTAAAGCAAACCAGCCGTCCCCCACAGCCCCGCAACCCCTCAAGCCAAGCTCACCGTTTGCCCCCTCCCATTCTCCCTGAGCCTCCCCGGGGGTAACCCATACTCAGTCCCAAGACCCCCCAGCTCAAGTGTCTGCTGCTCAGGGCTACCCCGGCAGCCCACAGTACCCAGGCCATGCCCGCCCAGCTCAGGCCTGGGTACCAGGGAAACTGCAGCCATGCTGGTTCCTCTCTTAGAGTCTTGCCAGCTGAAGCCTGAATTTACACAAGGTCAAGGTCATGCCTTAGAGGCCATTTCCCAGAAACAGGTGATCACGAACTCTAGAGCACTTGCTACATCAGCAAGTCTCAATGCTCTCTGCCCATTCCAAACCTGGTAGGGTGGGGTGGGGATGGGAGGGGTGGGGAAAGGACAGGACGCAGAGGAGGCTTGGAACCCACGTCAACCTGCACCAGAAGTTGGCCTCACCTACTGAGACCAGGCCCACAGACTTGTACCCCACGTGTACATAGGCACACAGGCTGTGCACACATGTGCACACATTAGGCTCCGTGGCCTTTCAGTTCCACCATGCAAGGTCTGGCCACAGAAAGACAGTAGAGAACACGGAGGCACTGGGTACAAGCCTTGGGAGGCCACCCCTTTGGTGGCCTCCCCATTGGTGCCATCACAGGGACAGGCAGACAGGAGGGGCGTGGGTCAGAAAAAGTCTCTGCCCTTACCCCAGCAAGGAGAGTGGGAGGGTGGGGCATGCCTGCTCGGCTCTACACAGCTGCCCAAAAGGGTGGGGCAACCGGGGCGAGACCCCTGACCCAACAGTGAGAGGACCCCAATCTACTGGTGACCTTACCCTCAGGGTGACAAGAGAAGCATGAAATGGGTGCAGCAGGGATGAGGGAGAGAGAGGAGGGCAGGGGGATCTGGGAACACGGGCTACCACATGCACACACACACCTCACCATACACACATCACACACACACACACACACACACACACACACACACACACACACACTTCACACCACAGACACCATACACATATACACCTTGCCATACATGCACCCCACACACACACACACACCTCACAACACACACACACCTCGCCATACACAAACCACACACACGCCACAACACACATACACACCTCACACCACACACACATCACATCACACACATACCTCACCATACACACAACTCACACCAGACACCACACTCAATTCACCATACACATGCCACAACACACACACACTTCATGCCACACACACACACCCTTCGCCATATACACTTCACACCACAGATATCACACAAACACACCACACACGCCTCATGCCACATAAGCACCTCGCCACACATGCACCACCTACACACACACCTCACTAAACAGAAACACACACACCTCACCCCAAACACACACCAACCACACCCACAACCATATACCAGTTTGGACACTCACTCCCCACCACACTCACACCTCACACCACACACACACCCACATCACACATGTCATGTATAGGTGTACCCACACAACTCACATCCCACAGACTCTCCCCTGAGCTTTCCACAGAAGGCTTCAGAGACAGGCAAGGTGGTGTGGACGGGTGTGGAGCCCAGGACAGACCTATGGGAGAAGGGGAGGAGGAGAGAGTGGAGGGAGGGAGCCCCACCGAGCCAGTGTGGACGCTGGGCACACTGAGGCGGCCAAGGCAGGTGGCCGGCTGGACCAGGGAGAGATGCTGCTCCCAGACCGGCCAAAGGGGCCTGAGGGACTGACAAGAGCAGCAGGGTGGGAGGCCGGAGGGGGCAGGGGCAGGTAGGAGAAGGGGCAGCGGTGGGGCAGGCACCCTCGAGAGGGGGCCTCCAGCTGGGGCTGCTCTCCTGTCTCCAGCAGGGTCAGGGCGGCTGGGCGGAAGGGATGGGCTGCGAGTGCCCACCTGGGCAGGGAACAGGCTGCTGCCAGCCCACAGGGATCTTGGGTATTTCTACTGGGAATTTCTTCCCCTGGGCATTTCTACTGGGAAAACGTTATACTGCTTTTGTGGGAAGACATTTTTACTGCTATCTATCTGCAGGATACTTTTAGTAGTTACTATTCAAATCTTCCCTGTCTATGGCACACGCAGGGCCACGCTGTGCAGTCAGCGACCTGCACCACTATCCATGGCAGCCTGGCTGGGAAGTATCAGGCAGGACGCTGGTCTGGACGCCTGGGAGAAGGCAGGATGATGTCTCCCGGTCCTGGCTACTGGCTCAATCTGAGAGGACGGCCTTGCTCAAGGGGGAAGGAGGGAAAGTGAGAGGGGAAGGGGCCCTGAGCGGATGAGGAAATAATCAGAAGGCATGACCAAGGCAGAGGGGCTCCTGATATGGGTGTAGGGAAGAAGCTGAGACCCCCCCAGCCTCCTTCCCCTGTGTGGAATCTACCAGGCACGGGACAGGGCCATGGGGGTCACCGACAGGCTGGGGCTCTCTGGCATCTTCAAGGGTCCTGTCCCCCTGCCAGGGAAGGAGGAGGAGGAGGGGGAGGGGCTTCCTAGGCCCACCTTCCGCCCCAGGGCCGGCTGCGGGAGCGTCCAGGGAGGACAGAGGCACAGGCAAGAGGGCGGCAGGGAGAGTGAGGAGGCCGAGGGAGAGCTCACCTTGGGCGCCCCCGAGAAGGCGTGGCCGTGACATGAAACATTAGGTCACATGGCCTTCCCCTCCGGCCTTAGCGTGCCTACACATCTGCGCAGAGAAGAAGAGGAGGTTGAGAGGAGCACGTAGGCGACGGCACGGAATAAACCCAACAGTCACGGCAGACAGAGAGAGGGCACAGGACGGAGGGACGGACGGACGAACAGAAAGGGGGTGTGCGGAGGCTGGCAGTGGGTGGGAGGCGGGCAGGAGGCGAGCACAGCCTGAGGCAGGGTGAGAGACAGAGCAGACGGCACAGGGATGGCTGGGGACGGTGGGGCTCCCACCATGCTCGCAGGACAGGAGGCTCGGGTGCCCTGCGGGGGCGGCGAGCTACATGAGCATGTTGGCAGGCCCGCCGGCCAAAGCTGCAAGGGTCCTGGGACCAGGGTGAGGTTGTGTTCCTCCTGGGGGCCTGCCTGCCTGGGCTCACACGAGGCTCCCACCTCAGCCTCCCCAGTCGCTGGGATACAGGTGGGACCTGAGGCAGGGGCATCTGCTGCCTGAGCTAAGCTGGTCATGGAGATACTCAACTCCAATGTCTGCAGGTCGAAGGCGCCCTTCATTTGTGGTGCCCTTGTGCAGTGCAGAACCTGCATGACTGGACTCTATCCTCAGGCCTCCCCGAGTAGCACTGGACCAGGACACCTAAAAGGGCTCACAGCTGCCTACTCCCTCTCCTTCCTCCCAGGGGTTGAGCTCATCATGGTTAGGAACACGGAGTGTGGCGTGACCACACAGGGGTCCCAGGCAGGATATAGGAGGAGGCAGTAAAGCCTCTGTGGGCAGAGGTGCTCAATCATGCCCACAAACAGGAGAAGGGGAGGCTTTCTGATGCCCCTGCCACTTGGGTATGCGAGATGGGAGGGATCTCCCAGCACAGACTCCCTGTGGGACCTGGATGCTCTATCAAGCCCAGAGCTTCGTCAGAAGTGGACACAAAGGAAGCCCACCTTCTGTACCCCGGAACCACCGACATGCGCACACAGCCCCTCCTGCCTGAGCCAGGGGTGCCGAGTGCCTGTCCGATCTTCTCAGTCACAGGAGACAGAGGAAGAGGAGAGAAAGGGCAGAGGTGCAGGGTTGAGGATCCAGGCAAGAACAACACGCCTCTCGGGAGCCGGGCTGCCTCTCCCGAGAGACCAGACTGTCCAGACACCTGTGAGGGGGAGAGGCGGAGGACAGGGCTCGGCTCCAGCGTGAGGTTCACCGGGCACAGGGGAGCAGGGGCCCCAGTACCTTCTGGGCTCCAGAGAAGGCATGGTAGAAGCTAGACACGTAAGTCATGATGGCTTTCTCGTCCGGCCGGGCGGTCCCCACGATGTCTGTCGAGAAAAATCTGGAGTCAGAGCAGCCAGTTCCACAAACACAAGGCTCCAGGAAGAAGCTCCCAGCGTCAGGAGGTCTTCTTGCCAAAACGCTGAGCCTGAATCTCACCAGGCTCTGGCATCAGCTTCCACTCACGGGAAGAGACGTAAAGGAATGAAGGAGTGGTACAATGCCCCCAGGAAGCGGCCAGACCAGCCAGAACAAGGAGCGTCCTGGGGAACGGCAGGCTCCGTCCCTGCACCAAGTTCAGTGGCAGGAATGGAGGGGCCGAAGGAGGATGATACGGGCCAGAAAACACTCAGGAAACACAACGCCAGAGCCACATGTGCACCGCGTTCAGATCCTGACAAAAACAAACTGACTCTCAAAGGCATCTCCTGGACAGCCAGAGGAGGCTGACCGTGAACTGGACATTGCTGGTCACAGAACTGTCATTCACATGCTAGACGTGAAAACAGTCTTAGGCTTATGTAGGAAAACACCCACATTTTTAGGATACGTGCTCCAAAGTTTGCGGCAGCGAAATGATGCAATATCTGAGATTTGCGTTAAGGTATTTCAAAGAAAACAAGCAAAAATAAGAAAGTGACGAAATCTCAGTAGTCATGACATCTGGATGATGGGTATATGAAAGTTCACTGTGCTATTCTCTCTGCTTCTGTGTTTAAAAAATGTTTGAAAATCTCCCTAATGACATTTTGAAATTTGAAAAGCCACTGTGGCAGTCTGAGCGGTATAGCAAGACTTCATCTCTACTAAAAATAAAGATAAATAAAATTAGCCAGGCACGGCGGCACTCCCGTAATACCAGCTACTCCGGAGGCTGAGGCAGGAGCAGAACCACATGAACCCAGAAAGTCGAGGCAGCAGTGAGCTATGGTCGTGCCACTGCATTCCAGCCTGGGCAACAGAGGGTTTCAGGTTTGTGTTCAGGTTTGTGAGGGGCAACAGCCTGTCTCGATTAAATAAGCAAATAAAATAAAAAGTTACTGTGGGGCAGGGAGTAGTTCTGGGTCCACCATGGTCCCTTCCTGTCCCTCCACACTGAGCTGGTGCATTTCCAATGGCATGGGAGGCCCAAACTTTGCACATACGATGACCACTTGTATACCTCATCCTGAATCATACCCCATTCCTTCAAAACAAAACACAAAAATAAAACAAACCAAAAAAACGGTATCTGAGCAAGTGAAGCCAAGCAGAAGACCCAGGGCGAGTGGCCATGGGGTACCAGGCTTCTCCCAAGGGACAAGGGCAGAGGCGGGACAAGACCACCCAGACCGACCCCAGCCCGGAGGCAGCCGCCCCTCACCTCGTGGGCCCACAGCCTCCCCTGCTCCCTAAATGCTTCCCTTCCCCCCACAATCTGCTCACCCTGCCAGAGCTGCTCTGCACAAGGAGGGGCACAAAGGCGGGTTTAACAGCCGGGAAGAGCTACATTTCCGGCCCCAGGCCCCATCTTTGGTAAATGTGTTCTTGGGTCAAACCCCAAGCCTGGTCTGATGCATCAGGTGGCCTGGCTGGCAGGGAGCCACTTTTGCTGAGCAAACGCGTCAGAGCTGGAAACCTCCTTCAGCCAGGAAGCCCTAGCGGCTTCCTGGGAAGGCAGGGGGCCAGGGCAAGTCAGAGTCCCAAAGACTTAGCGCTAAGGGTGTGGGAGCAAAGGCCACACCTGGCTCTCCCCACCCCCGGCCTGTCAGAGGTGTGGCGGAGAGACCAAGTCAGCAGTCTGCAGACCTCCCACCCTGGAGCTCGGGGGATGAGGACAGCACAGCCCACAGCCTGCCCACCCCAAAGCGTGGGCAGGAGTCAGACCACAAGGGCGCTCTCCCCTACTTAGCACCCAGTACCCTGACTCTCAACAATCACCCTCAGGCGGTCGACATAGGAAGGGTTGTCACTGCCCCGTCAAGCCTTAGGGACCTGTGGAATCCGGCATATGAAGACCCCCAGGCTCCCCAGATGCAGTCGCAGGAAACCAGGGCTCTGCCTTCCGGCCTCAGGCTGCCGGGCCACCCACTTCTAGCTATGGGGTAGAGGGCGGGGACAGCAGGAGACACAAGGGAAGGGCTCCCACCTTCGGCGTCCAGCATCTTGGGAATGTCCAGGTATTTCTCTGCCACGTCAAAGGCCGTGTTCAGGTTTGTGAGGGGATCGTCCTGGAGGGAGAAGAGGGGAGGGGATGATACTGGAAGGGCCATGACAAGTCATCGGCTGCCCCCAACTGGGTGGGCACCAAACTGGGAGGCAGAGGGGACCTTCTCCCAGCTCCTTTGCCAGGCCCCATCCTCAAGGGGAAGCTCTGAGTGTGAAAAGCTGGTCCCCCTACCAGGGGGTGAGGTTTAAAACGTTCTCTAGGCCGAGTGCAGTGGTTCATGCCTATGATTCCAGGACATTGAGAGGCTGAGGTGGGAGAATCACTCAAGCCCAGGAGTTTCAGACCAGCCTGGGAACATAGTGAGGCCTCATCTCTACACACACACAAAATTAGCTGGGCAAGATGGTGCAGGCCTGTAGTCCCAGCAACTTGGGAGGCTGAGACAGGAGAATTGCCTGAGCCCAGGAGATCGAGGCTGCAGTAAGCTGTGATTGTGCTAGTGCACTCCAGCCTGGGCGACAAAGTGAGACTCCCACTCAAAAAAAAAAAAAAGAATGGTGGGTGCCAGGGACTGGAAAGAACGGGGACTTTTTTTATGGGCACAGAGTGCCAGTTGTGCAAGATAACAACAGTTAGAGTCTTAGAGATGGATGATGGTGGTGGTTGCATAGCAGTGAGTATTCTTTATTTTTTTGAGTTGAAGTCTCATTCTGTAGCCCAGACTGGAGTGCAGCATTTACAGCCACCACAGCCTCAACCTGCTGGTCTCAGGCAATCCTTCCACCTCAGTCTTATAAGTAGCTAGAACCACAGGCATGCGCTACCATGCCCAGCTTATTTTTTGATTTATTGTAGAGACAAGGTCTCACCAAGATGCTCAAGTTGGTCTCGAACCCCTGAGCTCAGAAAATCCTCTCACCTCAGCCTCCCAAAGTGCTGGGATGACAGGCTTCAGCCACCACGCCCTGCCTAGTATGAGCGCTCTTAATGCCATTGAACTGTGTATTTAAAAATGGCTAGAATGACACATTTTATGACATATGTATTTTACCTCAAGTTTTGTTTGATTGTTTACAAATTTGTAAAGGCAGGGGAAATACCTCAGGGGGAGGTTCCTTGCTGTGCCCGCCTCTCTATTCTTGGTTCCCCAGACTAACCTAAAGCAAGCTGGTTTTGTCAGCCCAGGACTCAGTTTCCCTGCTTGCTAAAGGGAAAACTACAGGGCCACAAATGGATAAGTACATTCATTTGGGATGTCTTAGGAGGAAATTGCTCAAAATACAGATGGTGGGGTCCTTCTAGGAAAGTCTCCAATAGCAGCCAGGGTGATAAAAAACACAGCCAGCCAGCCAGTGAAGAACAAGCAATCCAGGGCCTCAGGTGTTCTGGCGCAGGTGCACACCCACCTGTCCCACAGAGATCCTGGGCCCCCACATCCACCCCATGGCTGGCGTAGGAGGAAGAGCTTTGCAGTCAGAGCCCCTCGGCTCTCTCTCCCTTATTCCCAAGCACCAGTTGGCTCTGGCAACCTCTGCGTTTTCTGGAAACTATTGATGGTTCACGGGGCCCAGATCTGTGCCAGGATTTGAGCTGGATTTTACTGAAGGTGGTACTGAATTAAAAGGAAGTGAAGCCAGGTGCCATGGCTCACACTCGTAATCCCAGTGCTTTGGGAAGCTGAGGCAAGAGGATCACTTGAAGTCAGGAGTTCGAGATCAGCCTGGGCGACATAGCAAGACCTTGTCTCTACAAAAAAAATCAAAAAATTAACCGGGCATGGTGGCACATGCCTGTGGTCCCAGCCACTCAGGAGGCTGAGGTGGAAGGATCCTTTGAGACCAGGAGATCAAGGCTGCAATGAGCCATGATTGTGCCATTGCATTCCAGCCTAGGTGAGAGTGAGACCCTGACTCAAAAAATACATAAATAAATAGGGTGATAGAGACTGAGACAGGGAGAAATGAGCAGAGATAACCAAAAAATGCAGAGTGGGATGGGGTGGGCAAGTGCTCATCAGGTATTAGAATGGTCCCTGGGCTCTCACCTCCCTCATGCTGAGGCTCCTAGAGGCTTTGTAATGGGAGAGGGGACTTGAGCCTGCCAGATTCCACTTTATATGGGGGTGGGCATCAGCTATGGATTAACTGTGCCACCCCCAAGGGGACACAGATGCTCACACTCCTGTCACCAACACGCACTGGCAGAACAGGAGGGAGAAATGCAGTGGTGTCTTTGAAACACAAGCCTGGCTGGGTGCAGTGGCTCATGCTGGTAATTCCAATACTTTGGGAGGCAGAAGCAAGAGGATTAACTGAGCCCAGGGGCTTGAGACCAGCCTGGGCAAGTTGATGAGACTTCTTCTCTACAATAAGTCAAAAAAATTAGCTGGGCATGGTGGCACGTACCTGCAGTTCCAGCTACTTGGAAGGCAGGATTGCCTGAGCCTAGCAGATCGAGGCTGCATTAGCTGTGAGCAAGACACTGCACTCCTACCTGGACAACAGATTGAGACGCCGACTCAAAAAAAAAAGAAAGAATGTGCAATATTGCATTAAGTTATTTATTTATTTGGGATCTTTTCCTACATTTGCTTTTTGGAGAAAGCGTCTGGCTCTGTTGCCCAGGCTGGAGTACAGTGGTGTGATCATAGCTCACTGCAGTCTTGAACTCCTGGGCTCAAGCAGTCCTCCTGCCTCAACCTCCCAAAGCACTGAGATTACCCCGAGCCACCGTGCCTGGCCAGAATGTGCCATATTTTTAATGATGAAAGTAGTAAGTCCAACTTACAAAATCCAGAAAACAGGAGGGAGAAATGCCACTTATCGTTCCACCCCGACAAAGCTATTGCCACAGAGGTGGTATTTTTCCTGGCAGGCTGTGTGTGCACAAGGACACAAATGCCGTGCCTACACGAGGACACAAATGCCGTGCCTACACGAGGACACAAATGCTGTGCACACAGGTGACAAAGTCGCCCTGCCAGGAAAGGTGCCGTTCTGCTCATGTCCAGATGGGGTTCTGTCTGGTTCATCTAAGAGGCCCAACCCCCTCAGGCGGGCCACGTCTGTTGGAACAGAGGGCCTGGTCCTGCTGTGCCCTCGCCCACAGAACCTCATGGTGGGAGGTCTGGTGAGCGCACATACCTTCCTCAGCTTCCCATAGTCAATCAGCTCCGGCCGGTGTCGGTGGATCAAGGCACAGAATCCGAGACCATCTTTCCAACTGCAGGGAGAGAAGAGGCAGGCAAGACGGTGAACAGGGTGGGACAGACGGGCAGCCCCACACCCACCGTGGACAGAACACCCCTCAGGGGTCTCCTCTGTGCCGGAGACACACACGTCACACTCAGAAGGCAGGATAGGCTGGAAAGGGACCTTTCTCCCGGCCACACTCCCAGGCCCTGGGTCTCGATCTGTGGGGGTTGGCAGGTTGAGATACCCTATCCCCTACCAAGGCCCACAGCCCTAGTCTGCTGTTCCAGAGTCAGGGCTGGAACTGCTGGGACCGTCTCCTTGGAGATCTTCCCAGTAGCACAAGCATTAGCCGAAGGTGTACCAGGCAGTAGCTGTGTCCAGGACACCGTGAGGAGACAGAGAGCACTCAAAGGGACAGCAGGAGAAGCCACTTCTCAAGAAAAGCCACTTGCACCCTCAAGGGGCTCAACTCTGGTCTAGAGCTGAGACTGGACCGCTGAGAGGGTCTGGCGTCTCCAGGGAGTGCAGTCCAGGTCTGTAAGGCCCCTCAGACCCGCCACTCACCTTATGTGGAAGTTCTGGATGTTGACATTTTTGTATGGGGCTGTCTTTCTCTGACACCACAAGAGCAGCCCTTCCTTGGCCGAAGTCTCTGTGGGGAAGGAGGTGGGCCGAGGGGTCAGCAGGCGGGCTCGGTGACTCCAACCCTGCTGCTCCCAAGGAGAGAAGAAGCCCCAGACCTGACAATGTTTGAGAAGCAAGCTAAGAAGCTTCTCAGAGCTAGCTGCACAGCACATTTACATTCTGAGACAGGCCAGGTGCAATGGCACATGCCTGCAATCCCAGCACTTGGGGAGGCTGAGGCAAAAGGATCACCTGAGGCCAGGAGTTGGAGACCAGCCTGGGCAACACAGCAAGATTTCCATCTCTAACCACAACAACAAACAGTTTCAATTTTCAGCCTTTTAAGCTTTTGGAATTACCTCGCTTCCTCCCATTTACTTAAAGAAAGGGCAGTGGCACAAAATAAGCCAGCAGCCTCTCTCAGGTGGCCACTCTGGGGAGGAAGGTGTAGTGATGTGGGAAACAAACCTAAAGGTCCAGGAGTCTCCAGACGATGCATACAGTCAAGTGAGAAGAAAGAGCTAGAACTCGTGAACAGATTTTGTTTTCATCTAAAAAAAAATGAGGTTTCCTTCTATTCACTGCACAGATTGACACTGGGGCCTTTGATTGTTGCATGCAGCAGCCTGGGTCTTAAGGCAGGTGGGCCTGATGGGGCCCAGAGAACCCCCAGCACAGAACACCTACCAACCACACCACCCTCCTGTGTTCACCTCTGTGAATTGCAGGTTATGGTGCATGGGGAAGGGGGTTCACGGATGATCTCACTCATTTGCAAATCGCAGGAGGGACTTTATTCATTTGAGTCAGGATCTCACTCTGTTGTCCATGCTGGAGTGCAGTGGCACGATCACAGATCACCACAGCCTAGACCTGGGCTCAGGTGATCTTACCTCAGCCTCCCAAGTAGCTGAGACTATAGGCACATGCCACCATGTCTGACTAACTGCTTAGTTTTTTGTAGAGATTAAGTCTCACTATGTTGCCCAGACTGGTCTCAAACTCCTGGGCTCAAGGGATCCTCTTGCCTCGGCCTCCCAAAGTGCTGGGATTACAGTGAGCCACTGCACCTGGCAAAGATGAACTTTAAAGGCAAGTTCAAGGGCTCCTACTAAGGCTATAATCAAGCACAGGCAAACAATTTAAAAACCGGCAAAGCTAATGCTTCTACTTAGTTTAAGCTCTTCGTCAGCTATGTTACAAGATTAAAACAATGAGGATTTAATCAGAGCTGACGAGAAGTCCGCCCAAAGAATAAAAATCACCAACAAGGCTATTTGAAATATGCACTACGCAGCCATAAAAAAGAACAAAATCATGAATTTTGCAGCAACCTGGATGGAACTA